AACCTGATTTAGCCCACGTGATGAGATAGTTTTACTGGCATGTGGCCACCATGCATGATAACAACTTCTCAGAGCCACAGGTGAGAGTTGGGAGAAAGGTGGACATCAAAGGGGGATGAGCAGCTCTGAAAAGTGTTCAGCAAGCCTTCACACCAGAGGTGCTGGTCTTCCCTGAACACCCATATGTCCCACCCGTGTAGTAGGAAAAGGCAGGATGCAGAGTGTCTCCACATTAGGAAATCTGTGCAAGTCCAGGTCAAGGCTCCTTACACATCCGTACAAATAAGGAGGAGGAGATGGAGGGAACTGGCTGATGCTTGACCCTCATTCCTATCCGAACTGGTCAAAAAAGGAAGAATACACACATACACACACAGAGTTGGGTACAGAAATACATTTCACTCAAAAGAGAAATAGGAGGAAAAGGGGAGAGGAGGGAGGATAGATTAAAGGGGTAGGTAGGTGGCACAGTGGATAGAGCACTGGATTTGGAATCAGGAAGACTTATCTTCATGAGTTCAAATCTGGCCTCAGATACTTACTAGCTGTGTGAACCTGAACAAGTCACTTAAACCTGTTTGCCTCAATTCCTCATCTTTAAAATGGGCCAGAAAAGGAAATGACAAATCACTCCAGTACCCTTGTCAAGAAAATCCCAAAATGGGTCTTGAAGAGTCAGGCATAACTGAAATGATGCAACAGCAAAGATTAAGGGAGGGATAAGTCCTAAGCCAAACAAACTGTAAAGATGTATAAAAATATTTGTAGCTTTTTTTTGAGGTGGCAAAGGAGGAATCAGAGGAGATATTCATAAATTAGGGAAAGCATAAACAAATTATGAACCTTATAGATTTCATAACAAGTTGTTCAGAACACAAATATGGCACAATACTGAAATCTTTTCAGCATGGTGACAAATCAGGATTCCAGAAACATGGTACCAACCTCCTGTCAGAACTCCAGACTCCAGGGTGAGATAAAAACAAAACAAAACAAAACATTTTTTACAAGGTTAATTGTTTTGATTGACTCTACATATATGTAATGGGTTTTGTTTTTCTTATGTTTCCAATTGGGGTGGGAAGATGAAAAGGTAGATTTGGGCTGATTTTGTTTTAAAATTTAAAAAAAGAAAAGCAGCTGTTTATTGGTTACTGGGCCCCAGTTGCAACTACACAGATGATGCAGGGTCATAAAATCACTTTTGTCCAGACTTGCCACTTTGGGTTGGGTTACTATACGAGTTGGGTAATAATGAGACAGGTACAGCCACAAAAAGCTTCTATTGCCAAATGAAAATGTTACATTAAGATAATTCTTACCTGGGCTCTACCAGTGTTAGAGCCCTTCACACACAGGTGGTGACTATGCCAGACTGAGGCCTCCAGTCCATAGGCTAGAACCCTCCTTCATTGGCCCATTAAGTGCCTGGCTCCCAAGGAACGCCATTTTGCTTGGTTGATTGATGGCTCCATCTGCTACCAGAGAAGCATATGCAACTTCAGCAGTCACTAATATGGTAACAGGGTATTCCTTGGGAAGGGAGGCCCTGGCAGGTCCTACCAGTGGGCTGAATTCCAGGATGCATGGCTGGTTTATGAGACAGCCTTGAGGGATAGAGCAGATAGATGGCACAATGGATAGGATGCTTGACCTGGAGTCAAGAAGACCTTAGTTCAAATCCAGCCTCAGATACTAGCTATGTAACCTTGGCAAGTCACTTAACTTCTATTTGCCTCAGTTTCCTCATCTGTAAGATGAGGACAATAATAGCACCTATCTCCTAGGGTTGTTTGTTTTCTTGTTTTTATTCATTCATTCATTCATTCATTCATTTGTTCATTTATTTATTTATTCATTCATTCATTCATTTATTTGTTTGTTTGTTTATATTTTTAGGCAATTGAGGTTAAGTGACTTGCCCAGGGTCACACAGCTAGTAAGTGTCAAGGGTTTGGTCTGAGGCCAGATTTGAATTCAGGTCCTCCTGACTTCAGGGTTGGTGCTCTATCTACTGTGCCACCTAGATGCCCCCCAAGGGTTGTTGTGAGGATCGTATGAGATCATAATAGTAAAGTGCTTAGTATAGTGCCCCGCACCAAGTAAGCACTACGTAAATGTAGCTCTTATTATTATTAGAGAAGATCTTCATCTACACTAATCCCTGGGTGCTGGTCTTGAGACTGGCCAAATAGAGTAGGGCCTGGAGAGCAAAAGACTAGACAAACAAAATGTCTCATATTTAGAGTGAAGAGAAATGGAGGAATTTTGCTGACATCTCCAACTACCTACGGTTGTTTACGGAACGTGTCAACAACCATCAGAGATATTATAGGCTAAATGACCAGGTTGGATCTCTTATGAGAATGGCATAAGTTGAGGAGCAGATTCAGTGACAATATGCACATTGAGGTGTTGATGCTATGAGCTGAGCACAGGACCATATGATCCCCTAAACTAAGAACAAGGCATCTATTCCTGCCCAGCTGGGTTCCTCGTTCCAATTGGAGCACCCACCTAACTCAAGTGGTCCTCATCTTGTCCCCAGCCAGCAAAATGGTACCTTCCCATCTCAGTGCAAGAAGTTTGCTCCAACTTATTAACAGCTCATTAGATATCTGACTTCCCAGCTCAAAGGTCTAACTTCTCTGAAGCAATGTCTGAGACAAATCAATGCCAACCTGGGAAGCGGGAGGACTCTCTGGTCAAAGGTTTCTGGAATCCAGTATTCAGGAAAATTTGCCTGATAAGAGATTGTTTTTGAAAACAGTTGTGGATAACCCTCTCTAATCTCTCCTTATTCCTTCCCCAGTGCAGAGTTGCCTTGGCCTCAAGGTTCTTTCCCCTTCAAAGTGTTCCACACACCCTGGAGAAGTTCAGGTTTTCCTTCATTTGGCAGTCTTCTTTCCCTCTGGGATGGTTCAGATGACTCCTTCCTAGTAAGGGCTTGGAGGACCACTGGGTGATATAGTTATCCCTTCCACACTGCAGGGGTTAGGTGAGTGGCACCCCTGCCATCTGGAAAATCCAGATTTTTTTAACCCTTCCTTTGTACCAGAGAAGAAGTCTGAATTTTTCTTTTTCTTTTATGAGGTGTTTAAAGTACCTTATTTAAAAATTTGAGTTAAGTATTTTGTCATAGGCACTGTGTCATCTGCTGGCCTTCATGTGTCATCTGTGACTTCTGCAAAACTCCCCCAAAATTCCCATTTACACATCAAGACAATTTTTAGCATTCATTTTTTTCCACTTAATAGTATTTTATTTTTTCCAATTACATATAAAGATAGTTTTCAATATTCACTTTTATAGGATTTTGAATTCCAAATTTTTTCTCTCTCCCTTCCCTCTACCCTCCTCAAGACAGCATGCAAGCTGATATAGGCTACACATGTACAATCATATTAAACACATTTCCACATTAGTCAAGTTGTGAAAGAAGCATTGGAACAAGAGGGAAAAACCACAAGAAAGAACAAACGAAAAAGAAAATAGTATGCTTCAATCTGCATTCAGACTCCATAGTTTTAGCATTCATTTTCACAAGATTTTGAGTTCCAAATTTTTCGCTCTCCCTCCCTCCTCTCTTCCTAAAATGCAGGCAATTTCATATAAGTTATACATGTGCTATCATGTAAAACATATTTCCACATTAGTCATAGTTGTGCAAGAACAGATCAAAAGAAAAACACACAAAAAAGAATAAAGTAAGTGAAAAAAGTATGCTTTGATCTGCATTTAGAGTCCATTAGTTCTTTATCTGGATGTGGATAGCATTTTCCTTCCTGAGTCCTTTGTACTTGTCTTGGATAATTGTGTTGCTGAAAAGAACTGAGTCATTCATAGTTGATCATTATACAATATTGCTGATACTGTGTACAATGTTTTTCCTGGTTCTGCTCATTTCACTTTATATCAGTTCATACAAGTCTTTCCAGGTTTTTCTGAAATCTACCTGGTCATCATTTCTTGTTGCACAATAGTATTCCATTACATTCATATGTTTTATTCATTCACTGGGGTGTAGGGTGTGTTCAGGGAAGACTACTACCTCTGGTATAAGAGCTGCCAAGCCCTTTTCTGGGCTTCTTTCCACCTTGGGTGTCCACCTGTTCCACCTAACTCTTACCTGTGGCTCTAAGAAGCTATAGCATGCATAGTGGCCACACCCTAGTAAACTCTTTCAGCAGATGGGCTAAGCTAGGTTGAGGGTAACCGAGGAGCCTCAAACCTATTGGTGAGTTGGGGTGGGGTTGTCTACCCAAAGCATGTGAAGACTTCCCCTGGTGGAATGGGCAGATGAGAACAATTTGTTCCAACAGCCAAGATGGCTGAAGCAAGTGCTATAGAGTGCTTAGAGCTTGGTTAGACATCAAAGATGTCAAGGTCATCCACTGCATCTCAAGCCATCACCAGTCATCTTGATTCTGTCCTGCCACTGGACTGTGATGACTGTGGAAGATAGAGTGAGGTCAACAGCTTCATGCAACTCTGCCTCCCTTAAATCCAATTTACCCATGAATCAAAAGACATCATCCATACCATTTTACCATTTTTACCTATCTCAAAGTTCTGTGGTGACAGGCAAGTAATGAAGCAGCAGGTGCAGTGTCAGGAGCCAGCCGTTATGGAAAATCTCTAAGTCCTTAGTGACTTAAGGGGTCAGTACATGCAGAGGCTTGCCTCAAGATAAACACTCCCTTGATTTTTGCCCCATTTTCTGTTTGTTACAGTTCATTGATCCCAAGTCCTTACTCATGACCAGCTTTGAAGCCAGGTGGCTGACTCGCAGGAGATCATACTAAGAACTGAGCAGGAAAACAATAGATATGAACTTTGGCATTAAAACTACTTTCTCATGAGAAAAAGATGATCTTTAGCTGCTTAGTTTGTGTATGTTATTAATAGCGCTTCACAGAACTTGTAAATCATTTGTCAAGCTACAAAGTTGTTTTTCTATGAGTATATGGTGAGAAAACTGACATAAACTAGTCTTGAGCGTTAACCTTTAAGACTCGCCTAGCCCAACTTTTCTTTCTCCATTTTCTTCACCACTCTGTCCTGCACCACACCAGCTGCTGGCAATTGGTGCCCAAACAGGGACCACTTGAACCTGGGAAGATTGAAGAGAGTTTGAATGTGATACAGTGGCACCTTACCAGTTGGAGCTCCACTAAAAGAAGAACAGAGAGGGTAAGGGAATTTTTTTCATGTTGAAAGAAACACATTACTAGGCTTATTCGGGGATTTTTCTGCTCTTCTTTTAAAAATGGGTCAGATTCAATTTAAAGATAGAGAGCAATACCTTCAAGTTTTAAAAAGAGTCGTTCGAGATTGAGGTTTTCACATTACAAAAGAGCAATTAGAGGAATTCTTGAGATGCGTAGAGCACTGTTGCCCATGGTTCCCTAAGGAGGGCACTATTGATCTAGAAAGATGGGAAATTATTGGTAAACAAATGAATGAACATCTAAAAGAGGATGGGCCAATCTCCCCCTACACCTCAAGATTCGCCCTTAGGTTATATTTTACACAACTGGAGAAAGCTCAGTCTCCAACACCTTAAGGAAACTTTTGCCTGGTCTCCAAAACATCTGGAGAACCATGAAAAAAATTGTCTGGTTTTGTGCAGGGGATTTCTAACAAGTCTGTCTGAGCTTTTGGATTCTCCCTATCATTACTGTGTTCTGTTCTGTGTTTGTCTGTGTGGTATGAGTGAGTGTCCATGTGTAATCTGATACCCTTTGTACCAGGTAGCAAGAATAGCATTCCAAGAGCTGCAGCTGGAATCTGGAATGCCGTTTTCTTTCTCTCCCTCTCCCTCCCTAATACCAGCCACCTCAGAGGAGCAGGTGGATGGGAGAGAGAAAGAGAGAAAAATACTTTATTATTTAGGTTATATAATTGGTAAAAGGCGAATCAAGAAGGATCCTTGAAGTGTCAGGTCAGAATTGGAAAGAAATAAGATATGTGCAATTTTAAAGGGATTTTAATCAAAGTCCATCAGAGGTACAAGTATGGGTAGAAAGAAAAGCATAATCTATTTGCGTGAACAGTGTGAACAGAGGGTTTGAGAGTAAAAGATTTGGAAACTTCTGTAGAATTGTTGGGGAAAAATTCTCTCTCTCTCTCTCCATTCTAAGTGTGGCCAAGTTTTGAATGTGGAGGGAAAGATAAGAAAGAAAAGTTGTTGGAAAATATTCTCTTCCTCTCTCCTGCATTCCAACTTTGGCCAAGTTGTTGAATGTAGAAGAGAGAAAGATAAGGAGGAAAGGAGGGTGAATGTTTTCCCCTCAGATCAAAGAGAAAAGTTTTTGTGTACTGGAACACAACTAAAAGGTAATTTAATTCATTCTGGTAATATTTTAAATGAAATGTGATGCTCTTAATTTAGTGCTTAAGTCAGAATTTATTATACTGTTTGGCACTAAGGTAAATTGGGAAAATATATGGATCTGAAATTTGTTAACTAGGTGACATTAAGCAAGTTATCTCAGTTTATTTCACATGATTGGAAGGTGCCTAACACAATGCCTTGTAGAAGGGCAGACACTATAAATGTTAACTACTATTATTATTAGTTCCTTAATGAGATGTGACCAGTATATAACATCAATGGTGAAGAGATGCCTGATTTTCTATGTAAGGAAACTTGGAAATGCATTCAACAGAATTGGAGCCACCTAATTGGTAATGTATTTGTTTCAAGTTTTAAACATCTAGTATTGTTTCAAATTGGTAAACTTTTGTATCAGTTATGTCAGTTAAATTTTCATAATTTGGATGTTATTAAAGTGTGAACTGAAAGAAACTAAAGGATGGTGGAAAAATTGTGTGAAACCAATTATATTACTTTGTCAGCCCTGCTAACCTTGTCTTATATTGTTTAATAACTGCCATTTAGAAAACCAGGTATTTCCACCTTTACCTGTAATCAAAGAAAGGCTTATACCTAAAACAATTTGACCATCACTTATGAAAGTTATAAGATTGTTAATTAAGTTATTTGAAGTTACCGTTTTAATGTTAAAATCTAGATTGTTAATTGATTACTTCTGTGTGAAAAGGAGGGGCACGAGGCAATTCCCCTTACTTTGTAAATTTGCCAAGGTCCATGGAAACTATCTGTGTGGGCAAGGTCATCTGCCCTGAGAAAAGAACTTGTCAGGATTGTGTAGTTCCTAAACAATGAACTTGGCTTGCTGAGAAGTAGCAAGTTTATGTACAATAGATAGAAATGATTTCTAATGATTGGCTTTTACACCAGGACAAGTTTAAATTTGAGAAAGAAAGATGTTAAGTGAAATCTCTTATGTATGTGAATCCTGGTAAATCTTTATTGCTTATTGCAACTCCATGAGAGTAAAATTAACTGTATCTAGCTTTAAGTTGTGATTAGTGAAACTTGCTGTTTGAGGTAAAAAGCTATTTTTATTTTGAGTTTGAATTTGGGTATAGTTGTTTACATTAAATCGGTATCTGAGAGAAATGCTACAAGAACAAGTAGATGTCTACTCAGAGAGAATGTGATTCATTTGGGAAAAAGCTGTGAGGACAATCTTAGCCTCAATCTAGGATGGGATCTTCCTAGCTCAGTTTCCCCACTGTGCTCCTTTGAGAAGAGATGTTTCCCACCATGTACCAAAATTTTGTTCATAAAGGTGTTTAACCTGTTAGACAGAGATATCCCCAGGCAAAAATAATTCATTATATGGATGATATACTTTGCAGTTGTTCTACTACTAGCGAAATTTCCTTATTAATACCTGGGCTTCAACAAACCCTTCAGTTTTACGGACTTATAATTGATCCTGAAAAGGTGCAAAGAAGATCACCATTTGCTTATCTTAGGCACATTGTCTCAGAGTCTATAATTAGATCCCCAAAATTACAAATTAGGCAAGATTCCTTAAAAACTCTTCATGATTTTCAAAAACTTCTTAGAGATATTAATTGGCATCGGCCTGCCTTGCAGATCACCACTGATCGATTATCTAATCTTTTTGCCACCCTCAGAGGGGACTCTTCTCTCACCTCACCAAGAATACTAACATCTGAGGCAAAGGAGAAACTTAAACTGGTAGAACAAAAGATAGCTGAAGCCCAATTGATCCATATTAATCCCCAAGAAGAGGTACAAGGGGCTATATTGGCCACACCTATTTCTCCTACTGGGGTCTTATTTCAAACTGCTAGTGTAATTGAGTGGATTTATCTCCCTCACCAATTCCCTAGTTCACTTACTTCCTATACTACCATGGTAGCATTATTAGACTGTCAAAAAGATATTTACGATTGTCAGGACATTTTCTTCCCATTATTCATCAGCCCTATAATAAACAACAACTTGATTCCCTAATAACTTCCTCTGAAGATTGGCAAGTTGCTCTTTCTGTATTTATGGGTAAACTTGATAATCATCTTCCTTCACTTAAAATACTATCCTTTTTCACTAATTATTCTTGGATTTTCCCAAGCATCATACAATACGCTCCTGTACCCCAAGCTCTCACTGCTTTTACTGATGGCTCAACTAGTGGAAAAGCTGGTTATTATATTTCTCAATACCATCACAGGGCAATTCAAACTTCCTTTCCCTTTGCCCAGAAGGCAGAACTTTTTGCTTTGATTCTCCTTTTTCAAGACTTTTCTGAACCTCTTAATGTAATTTTAGACAGTAAATATTCTGTGTATGTCGACATATAGAAACAGCAAATCTTTATATTACGCACATACAAGCACATACTAATTTGCTCAAACCTCTTACTAAAGGTAATGCCATTGTTGATTCTCAACTACAATTCTACCCAACACTTTTAACCCCTACCATGCAATAAGCTATTGATTCTCATTCCCAGTTTCACTAAAATGCTGACACTCTACGACGCCAATTTCATATTTCCAGAGACCAAGCCCGACAAATTGTGAAAAGCTGTTCCGAATGTATCACTTTTATTAACCCACCTCTCTCCCAATCGTATTTGACAAATGGATGTAACTCATATGCCTTCGTTTGGAAAGCTTTCTTATATTCATGTTATAGTTGATACCTTTTCTTCTTTCACTTTTGCCACTTTGCGAACAGGTGAAGCAGCTAAACAGGCAGTCAATCACGTTTCACAAGCCTTCACAGTTATGGGTGTACCTAAACAAATTAAAACAGATAATGCCCCTGCTTACATTAGCAAAGCATTTTCTTCCTTTTGTGCTTTTTATAACATTTCTCTGATCAGAGGCATTCCATATAATCCTACTGAACAAGCTCTAGTTGAATGAGGAAACAAAGATATTAAAACTATTCTTCTCTTTTTTTGTTTATTTTTGTTTAAACTTTTTAGGCATTTGGGGTTAAGTGACTTGCCCAGGATCACACAGCTAGTAAGAGTCAAGTGTTTGGTCTGAGGCCGGATTTGAACTCAGGGTCCGCCTGACTTCAGGGCCGGTGCTCTATCCACTGTGCCACCTAGCTGCCCCTTAAAACTATTCTTCTTAAACAAAAAGGGGGTACCTGGGCTATTATCCCTCACTGACAATTGGCTATCGCATTATATACCCTTAATTTTTAAAATATTAACAAAGATGGGTACACTCCAGCTGAAAGACATCTTGAGAAAAATAAATATCCAGAGGCCCAGATCCATTACTAATGTGGGGATGAGTTTTTCCAGGAAACTTTGATAAACCTGTCTGGATACCGGAGAAAAATGTCTGAGTGTGTACCACAACTCGTAGCCTAAATGCAGAGTATGAGGATTCGGGGGAAGCGCAGAAAGAGCTGGTCTACAAAGACAAGTCACCTTCCTATGTGGGGTCAAGTGAAAGCTCTCGCTCATTGAGCAATGGACCTAGTAAAGGAGCAGGGAAAATCACAGACTCCGAATTTGTATTTTTAGCAATTGAGCATCTGGGATTATGGAGGGCCTTCGCTGTGTGGCAGCACATTAACCACACCAATTTCAAAGGGTACCTTGCAATGGGAATAACCTCCTCTCGGGAAAGGAATCAAACTTTTGTAAAAGCATGTATAAAAGCCCTCAGGCCTTCCTTGTTGCATCATCTTTTAACACCAGTTCGTCCAATGGATATGTAAATTTTACTCAATCTAATACTGCTTTTGAATGGAATGTTACTTGTGTCAATTGTACTCTCAAACAATGTATTGATAGCAATGATCATGTTGTGCTTTTAGTAGA